GATTTTTATTCATATATTGACCTTATACGTCTATCTGTTAAAACTGCTGATTTGGTCACTATAAGCTGAACATGATTTGATGGGTTTTTTATAGCAATTGTTTTCAATCGTAGTTGATTAGCATAAGACAAAACCAAGACAGACATCTGTGTAAGGAATCAAATGTTATCAACATAAACATCTGATCCTTATTGCATAAGCTAATTCTGAAGGCCAACAGCACAATCCCCTATCACTCGCATTCCAGAGGACAGCAAACTACAAATTCAATCCAGATCCAGTTAAAAGAAACTCTTCATATCAATGCAAACTTAATTTCACTATATATAATTGTCAGTCTTCATCATCCGTTTTTAATTTTGACCTCTGTACTTCTGAATAGTGTCCCACAGACTAACAGACACACATCTTAACTTACAACATACTTGCAAGCATTATTTTTCCAACACTCCTGAAATAACTTTAGCTTTAATGCTAATGGATTTCTACTAAAATAAATTTAAGAAGAAAAACTTTGTTTTTAACACAAGAAGTGAAATTTAAAAGGTGGAATAGTGCTAAAATTTCAAAGAAAAATTATTACAAATAAAATGTGATATATCTGTCTCCACATCTCTCATTTTTTCCAACTGACTCATTAAAAAAAACCTTGCAAAATAATAAAAACGAAGTAATCAAAAGTCTCCAATAAGCAACTACCCTTTTTGTTTGTAGCAAAAACAAAATTTAAAAGCACTCAAAATTATACAAATAGTGGTAATAATTTCACGTTTGCAAACAAGTTTGAAGATTTCATTCATTCAATTATGTCTAATCTATTTTTTTATATATAGTGGTACAGTTAGTTTTGGTTTAGTTACTTGTAAGCTTTTAAAGACAATAAGCTATTTAGGTGACGGTTACACTAAAAGCCCAAACTTTACCACTACACAATATATGCATGTAACAAAACTGTACTTGTAACCTCTAAATCTATAAAAATAAAAAAATATTAGTAAGTTAATTAGAAATATAATGTAAGAAGGCAGCTGTGGCATAGTAGGTTAAGAGTCTGAGTGCCAGTTCTGAAATTTAAATGTGTTATTTTAGATGAGCCACAAAAAGTTTACATGTTTCCATTTTTTTCAACTATAAATAGGGATGGCAGAATTAGTAAAGAATAAAGAAGACAGTATTTATAAGCACTGAATCTTTCAAGAATATGAGAATTATTCTTATGTTTCTAGTTACTACTTTTAAAGAATTACACAGCAAGAAAAGTTCCAGTTAGGAGATTCAAGGTAAGATGAAGTTAGTCAATGAATGTGAAAGAGAGAAAAGTTTCTTTTTTCTTTCTTTTTAATGCCTATTCGGCCTTCAAAATAAGTCTAATTTGCCTATTACCAAGCTTCAACTGACAGTGTTAACAAACTTCTGTGTTTCATTTCTAACTGATTTTTTTTTTTTTTTTTTTTTTGAGATGGAGTCATGCAGTGGTGTGATCTTGGCTCACCGCAACCTCTGCCTCCTGGATTCAAGCAATTCTCCTGCCTCAGCCTCCTGAGCATCTGGGGTTACAGGCATGTGCCACCATGCCCAGCTAACTTTTGTATTTTTAGTAGTGATGGGGTTTCACCATGTTGGCCAAGTTGGTCTTGGACTTGACCTCAGGTGATCTGCCCATCTCAGCCTCCCAAAGTGCTGGGATTACAGGCATGAGCCACTGCATCCAGCCTTATTTCTTATATTAGAATGCATGCTTTTTCTACATACACTCCATGCAATGATCTAAAAATGAGAATGGAAGCTTTTTCTTTCTTTTTTTTTTCCAGACACGCTCTCTCCAGGCTGAAGTGCAGTGATGCAATCCTGGTTCACTGTAACCTCCGCCTCCCACATTCAAGCAATTCTGCCTCAGCCTTCCCAGTAGCTGGGACTACAGGCATGGCCATCATGTCCGGCTAATTTTTGCATTTTTGGTAGAGATGGGGTTTTACCATGTTGGCTAGGATGATCTCATCTCTTTACCTCATGATCCGCCCGCCTCAGCCTCCCAAAGTGCTGGGATTACAGGCAGAACCACTCCACCCGACCAGCTTTTTCACACATTATAAGTGAGAGTAAAAACTGATAAAACGGGTTTTTTTTGGTATGAAATTTGGTAACACCTATTCACATTTAAATTGCATATATACCAATTCATTCTAAAGAATTAGTCTACAGGTATACTTCCACAAGTACACAGAAATACATATATAAAGATGTTAAAGAAACAAACTGGTAAACAATATACATTTCCATTATTAGCAGCTGGATCAAGTTTGGCACATCTATACAATGAAACAGTAAGTAGTCATTTAACAGAATTAGGTAGGTTTTCATGTTTTAATGTCAAAAGCTGTTCAGGAAATATCAAGTAAAAAAAAAGAAGTTGCAAAACAAAGATCAGCTACTTTGTGTTTTAAATATAGGGTCAGGTATGGTGGCTCACACCTGTAACCTCAGCACTTTGGAAGGCCGAGGCAGATGGATCACCTGAGGTCAGGCATTTGAGACTAGCCTGGCCAACATGGTGAAACCCCGCTTCTACTAAAATAAAAAAATTAGCTGGGCGTGGTGGTACATGCCTGTAATCCCAGTTACCTGGGATGTGGAGGCAGGAGAATTGCTTGAGCATGGGAGGGGAGAATTGCTTGAGCTGAGAAGTGGAGGGCTGTAGTGAGCGGAGATGGCACCACTGCACTCCAGCCTGGGCGCAGAGGGAGACTCTGTCTCAATGTATTTATATATATATATGTAAGTAGGAGAGATATCTGGAAGGTTCTGTAGAAACCATTTTATTTCTGGGGATTAGAACTAGAGCAATGTATCTCAAACTTGGCACTGCTGAATATGGGCCAGATAATTCTTTTTTGTAGGAGCTGTCCTGAGCACTGTAGAGTGTTTAGCAGCATTTCTGACCTCACCAGTGGTGTCCCCTAGTTGGGACAAACAAAAATGTCTCCAGGCATTGCCAGGTGTTCCCTGGGGGACAAATTCACATCCAGTAGAGAAATAGAGAACTAGAGAATGAAGAAGTAAAGCTAAGGACAGAGATTTACTTGTCACTTTATAGCTCTTTTCTACAACATTTCTACCATGATAATATATTACACAAACAATATAATTTTAACAAAATCCAAAAAAGATTGCCAGAAATTTTTAATTAATGCACTAAATTTAAAGTACTTGCAGGATATGAACTTCTGAGAGAGAAAAAAAAAAACAAAACACAATGTAAGAAGCAATCTAACTGTTAAAAAGAATTAAAAAGGACTTATCCATCTTCAACGGAAAAGGCAGAAAGATATATGGATTCTAGCACTTTTTTCCCCATGACTGCCTCTTCTGAAGATGCCCACAGACTTTCTTCCTTTCTTATTCCTACGCTCTCAAGTCCTTTGGTGACCTGAGTTCTTCATCACCAGGATGGCTTAGACCAACACCCTCCTCTTCCTTCTTGTTTTATATATTCAGAAAAATATATAGACAAACCAAAACTGATACTAGAAATGTAAAAATTTCTAATTTTCCCAAGAAGCACAGGGAATCTCTTAACATTTATTTAAAAACTGAACAAATAAAACAAAGTTGGCATTTGGAAGAAGTATAAAATCTGCCACGAAAATACAGCATAAAGAAAATTGAGTTAGTAATAAAAATAAATTTGATAATATATAAATTTTCAAAATTTGGAAATCTTGCCAAGCTTAGTACCTCCGAAAACCAGATGAAAACATTTATAATGTGATTATCAGGAAGAGGGAAGCAGTCTGTTTGTTATCTTTGGACATTTTTTCAAATATAATCATTTTCTGTGGCAGTGAGTAACTATACTGAGTGGCAGTATTTAACTTCTTAAGAACATGTACTTCAAAGGAAAACCTCTAAGTAAAAAGGGGATAAAGTCAATAAATATCATAACCATTGTTCTTATCCACATCAAGTTTGTGTCTGAGTGTATTTAATATATCTGCTTAATTTAAGTGGATCTGAAAACAGAAGTTTTGTATAGGTTATTAGTGTTGTTAACAGAATTGTCTATGTTAATTTCAGAGAAAACTGGTTTATTTGGAAGAAATTGATGTAGTTAAGGCTATGACTTTGCCGCAAAAATTTAAAGAAAGTCACTTTTTAAAAAAGAGTATATATAGTGTGGCCAAAACTTACTTATGAGCACAAAATCACAAATGCTTCAGTAAAAGCCATCTGAGACATGAGCCCATGATCTTGCTCAGAATATCTGTGATGTATCTCTGGGTAATGACAAAACACCTTTCTGAGAGGTAGCAGGGGAAGGAAGGGCTAAAGGAAGGCATGGCTCTCAGACTGCACCAGAGCTGCTCTTTAGTTTACTTCTGCAGTTTGTGTTTGCACATAAGCTTTCTTTTGAAAAGCTACTGTTTGAAAAACAGCTTGAAGACTACAGGTTAATATCACTAATTTGAAAATCCAAATTCCAAAATGCTCCAAAATCCAAAACTTTTTGAGCACCAACATGATACTACAAATAGAAAATTATATCTGACCTTATGGGATGTGTTGCAGTCAAAACTTGGTTTCATGAACAAAATTATTCAAAATGCTGCATAAAATTATCTTCAGGCTATGTGTATAAGATGTCATATATATGAAACAAAACTGAATTTTATGTTTAGACTTGGGTCCCCTCCTCAAAATATCTCATTATGTATATGCAAATATTCCAAAGTCAAAACAAACCCAAAATTCAAAACACTTCTTGTCCCAAGCATTTCATATAATAGCATTTAGTACACAGATATACTCAGTCTGTACCGATTTATGCCCATATAGTATAAAACTAAATCTTTCCTCTACATTTGGATTTAATACACATGTATTAAATGTGTATGTAAATATGTATATGTATGTGTGTGTGTGTGTATATAAATTTAATATAAAATCCATATAAGTAATGATATAAAACAAATCATAAATTGGCATACAACTGAAAACCATACCTGATTCTGGCCAGAACAGCCTGTAGAAAGCTCAATACTGTCCTAAGTTCAGACTCTTGGCATGCTCGCAGAAGCATACTAAATCCATCATTAAGCAGTTTTTCATGGGAAGGATACAAGCAATAGCTGGTCTCAAACACTTCTTGAACACCGTCAATGTATATGGAAAGAAGTGTCCACACAGTCTGTCTCTGTATCATTTCCTCATTCTTAGACACCAAGAATTCCTTTGCTTTCTCCCGGAAAGCACATGCAAATTTCTCAGCCAAAACACCAATGTCCAGATTTTTCTGGGCATACATCAAGAGGAAGGCCATGTGACCCTTCCAAATGAGGGCTCTCTGAGATGTTATAAAAGAAGGTTTGAGGAAATTCAGGAGATCTAAAACATGACTTGCTACATCTTCTACTTCCGCAACAGCTGCTAACAGTAGAAAAAGGCTAAAAAAGTTCTGTAGACCAACTTCAGTTAGTTCTTCCATTCTTTTTTGATGGAATTTTGAATATATTCTGTAAAACATTAAAAAATGCTTTAACAAAATTTTTCATTCATGAAAACCTATCTCTTAAAAGAAAATTTGGTTCAATACTCATGACAGTCTCATTACTTTACATTTTAAGTTAATTATTCATTTTGATATTGCCTTGTCATTTTTCTTTACTTAGAAAACAAACTCACATAATGGCCCTACCTAGAAATTTTCCAGTAATGCAGCAAATCACGGGTAAGTGAATCAAAGGATTCAACAGTTTTCCCCAAAGGATAGTAGAAATGTTTTCATATAGTACATGGCTTTTCCTTACATTCAAGTCCCTCATCACCTTTCTTTTCTTATTTCTATTAGTAAATAAGAAAGAATATATAATCTTTTAAGTACAATTTGATATATTTTTACAGAAATCTTAACAGGACAATTTTATATAACAGTTTTCCTTAAACTCTTTCTCCCTGCACCCCTCACAAAGACTTGTTATTGTTTTAGTTATACCTTAAGACAATACAAGGTGCTAGAAAAATTATTTTTAGCCATCTGCAAAGAACTAAGTATTTAAAAATTCTTCTATCAATACTATTTAATACAATTGTTGACCCAATATTTAATACAATAGATACTAATATAGCTAATAGTTGACATACTTTTCTTTCATCAATTAAGAGATTAGAATTGAAAACAATTCATCTGAATTCCTACTTACAGATTAAGACTTTTTTCGAGAAGGAGTTTTGCTCTTGTTGCCCAGGCTGGAGTGTAGTGGCACGATCTTGGCTCACTGCAACCTCCGCCTCCCAGGTTCAAGTGATTCTCCTGCCTTAGCCTTTCAAATAGCTGGGATTACAGACATGCACTACCATGCCCAGCTTTGTATTTTTAGTAGAAACGGGGTTTCACCATGTTGGCCAGGCTGGTTTCAAATTCCTGACCTCAGGTGATCCACCCGCCTCAACCACCCAAAGTCCTGGAATTGCAGGCCTGAGCCACCACTCTTGAGTGCAGTGGCACAATTTTGGCTCACTGCAGCCTCCACCTCAATTTCAAGTGATTATCCTGCCCTAGCCTCCTGAGTAGCTGGGATTATAGGCATGCACCACCACACTTGGCTACTTTTTTTTTTTTTAAAGTAGAGACACAGTTTCATCATGTTGTCCAGGCTTGTCTCAAACTCCTGACCTCAAGTGATACACCTGCCTCAGCCTTCCAAAGTGCTGGGATTACAGGTGTGAGCCACCACACCTGACCTTAAGTTTTGTAATGTCTATAACTGGTTTATTCAGAACAGAAATGACTAATGCTCTTGAGAGTTAAATGTTTACAAATAACTACTTAAGAGCTGACAAATTCTTAAAAGTAAAGATCTGTTTAATTATCTTTGTATTCTCTACTACTATCCCCACTCCAATGCGTGACATATAGTATGCATCTAATAAAGACTTGTTACTGAATAAATTCCAATGGCTTCTATTAGCCATAAAGTTCTGAGTACTGTCTTCCATAAATTGCTTATGATTCAAAAACAAACTGTCAAATAGCGCATTAAGAAAAATCTGTTTGAGCCACGTGATTCTTGAAGATTTAACAAAGAGGCTGCCATTTAAAACAGTATATAATAAATAAAAAATCCAAACTATATCACCATACCCTTATAAGAATTACTCACTGTGGGACTCAAACAGGAATTTCATTAAGTGATTCTTGGGAAGTCCCTACCTAGTATTCTCTTCCTTAAGAGGTCCCAATAAATAAGCTGAGCAAGTGGTAGATGGTGGTATACTGCAAAAGAAGGCTAAGAAAAGGGCTAATACAGGCAAAGGAAGTAGAAAAAAGACAAATTAAAAGTATACTCATTGAACAAACAAAACTCTCAAAAGAGAGAAAACAATGGATTAATGTGACCAAAGTTTATTTTATCAGAAATGAAAACAGCATAATTCCCAAATGAGAACATTAGTTATCTGGTTCTACTATACTCTGGTTAAAACAAACAAACAAACAAACAAACCAACACACACAGCACTTCTGAACTGTTGGGTTCAAAGAACACAAAAGTTTTATATGTTGAAATTATTACCCACCAATGTACAACTTGAAGATGTTTGTTCCTATCACTTTTAATAAAATGCATATAATGGATTACCTAGTAACATTATAATTAAGACTCTGACCCTAAGTAAACGTAACAAAATACAAGTAGTAATACTTCTCCAAATGTATCAGTGCACATTCATGAGGAAATATTGCATATACCTTCCTTTGACTTGTTTCCAAGGATGGGGGCCATTATTCTTCATTGCTTTTGTAACAACTTTTGCCAGAATGCAAAGAAAAATAGTATAACTACTGCTGGATTTATACAGGTCCCGATCTTGTTTATCGCAACAGCAGGTCTTGACCATTTCAAGCATAGACAAGGGTGACTTCATGGTATTACTGAGGCCTTTAAAAGGAAGCCAAGAAATACTGAAGGAACTATTCTAAGAGAAAAAAAAAGTAGGAAACAATTAATTATTAGTCTCTTAGTAAGTAAAATGGTAAGCTGCAAATCCCAGTTAGGTGGTTCATCAAAAGTTTGACTCATCTTAATCACAAAAATTACATAACCATGATCCCCTAAAATAAAAATTCCACGAAAGTATAGAGCATCAGGAGGTGTTCAAATTTGGGATGGCCCCTAAAATGTATTTTTCACAGTTGAGTTGTCCAAATTAGGATAGAAAGAAGACTCATACATTGCATTCAGTGATATTCATGGACCCTTTGGCTCTTTAAGTTTCCCAATGTTTTTGTTGAACCACTTGTTTTTAATATCAGGTCATTTGTTGTCTGTAATTTCCTATGTTCTAAAGTTAGCTGCATGTATGGCTCTAGTGTTACTTAACAATCTTTTATCCCCTATCTTTTCTGTAAATTGGTGGCTATATCTAGAGGTTTCATCAGATTCATGTTGACTTCTTTGACAAGTATTTTTCATTTGGTAGGACTGAGTACTTTCTATTGCATTTAGTAAAAAGGCACATAAGTTGTGACTTTTTGTGATGTTAAGATTGGTTAGGTTATCAGCCTAGTCCAAACATGTAAGTGGTCCCACCAGCGTTTTACTTAACGGTTTTAGTAGCATTGATGATCATTGTTCAGGATGAATCATTTCATTAAATGTACAAAATGGTGACTTTTAATTTTATCATACCCTCTTAATTAGCTCATCAGAAATTTGGTTACTCTAAAATATAGTTTGTATTTTCTTTAATTTACAGTTTTCAGAATGAGGCCTTTTTTTTTTTTTTTTTTTTCAAAATAACTTTTTACAAGGAAGCATAAACTCAGAGATTTAAGCATATTTGACACGTTTTAATTCTTATGCTCAAATTTTCCTATTCTGTGGGTAATGGACATTCTTTCAAGGTGGCTCTTGTGTCCTTCTGACATGACTCTAGCTTAATATGATATATTTCCTGCTTTCTGGTAGACAAGACACCCCAGACTCACCTTGTACACATCTTGCCTCAGGACTAGAATCAGTCATTTCTCCAACTAGCCTAAAATTATTCTTTAGGGAAAGGTATTTTTTCTAATTTTTAATAAACTCCATTATCCACAAATCCAAACTTCTAATTTACTTGTAAATCTTCCATTGCCATTTTCTATTTTGACTGAGGGGTTCACTAATTATTTATCCCCAAACCCAAACATCACAAATCTCCTCTCTATATACAAGTAACTAAATCATTTAAACGTAACTTTAAAATTTTTATCTTCCAAATTCACCTTCTCCTTTCTAAATTTTTTGTCCTTATTTCAGTTCTCAGCCATAGCATTATTTGTTCATATAACCTACATTAAACTACTAACTCGTCTGGACCCAATTCATTCACACTACTTTCAGGGGAAAAAAAAAAAAAAACTTTCTCAAACACATACCTAAGTTACAGCCTGGCTTTTAGTGTCTTCTGAATAAAGCAGAATTAACTGTACATTATCTTCAACCCTTCATAGTCTAGCCCCAGACTGCCTTCTCTAGTCTCCTATCTTCTGTCTTTCTCCATAGTTATCCCAGGCTTACCATTGAGAACTATTAACATGGTAGGAATAGACCACACTTTTTCATACCTCCATGCATTTGTCCATACTGTTGATTCTGCCTAGATCCTTTTTTTCTTCTGTTCTTAGAAAATTCTACTCATTCCCCCAAGCCTTGTTCAAAAATTATGACCTCATGAAGTCTTCCACAAATACAGATACTGGATTAGATACCCTCTCCTCTGGAGTTCCACAATTATAACTTTTTTCCCACAATATATGTATACCCACCCACTAGCCTATAGGCTACTCAAGTGCTAGGATTGTTTCTTACTCAGGACAGCAGTGCCTGTTCAATGTGTCATGAGCAATCAATTACTATCAGAAACATTTATAAATGAAGATATTATAAATATCTGCTACATTTTAGGTAGTTTGTTTACACTTGCTCTCAAGAAAAAAAGGATACCAAATCCTGTCTCCCTATGACAAAACTCTACAATGTTAAAGATAAAACTATTCATGAGCTGCTCCAATCTACTCTGCATAAAAATTAACTTTTTAAGAAAAATCTATCACTTTTCATAATTAAACCATAAAGATATTCCTCAAATATGTTCAATTTCTTTAGCAAATTCATATTCTATTCACTCACCAGGTTCTTACTATAATATTCCCATAAAATGGTAACAATTGCAATGTTTGGCTCCCAGAAATCACAAAGTGTCAAACAACAGTGAAGGTACATTCGTAATTGTTCTTCTAGAATGACATCCTAAAAAATAAATTGAAGTTATGAGGAGGTAAATAGCCTCTGGCAACATAAACATTTTCACTTGATATTGTACTGTATAACCTGCAGCTAAAAAGAAAATAAATATGTATCACCCAATCATACCCATTCTCATATTCAGACTAGATCTAAATCAATATAATGCATATTTCCAAAAATTTGTTTTAAAGACCATTAACGCATTCATATAACAGAAATGACATAACTTGACTTTTAATTCAATTATTTAAAAATTACAGCAGGTGTTTCATAACTGAATGGTACTGGAAACCCAGAAACCAGAAAAGAAACCCAAACCAGAAAGAAGTGGCAAAATGACCTAATAATTAAGATGTACACAAATCCAGAGGGCTTGGTCATATGTAAGTACTTGGTCAAATCTTTTTATAGGATTATGGAAGTTGTTCTTTCTAAAACCAAAGGATTGGCAGAGTACATCTATTTTAACCTTTTAGGAGATAACAGAAGGAAAAAGAAGTAGAAAAAACAGACACTTTTTCTATGACGATATAACCATGCATATCTTTTTTTAAATGACACACCCTGAATTCCAATCATTCAACAATTATATTTAAAACTTATCACCATACTAGGAACTGTTTCCTTTTTTTCTTTTTGGCCTCTCAGAAGAAAGAATTTGACTGAGGAGCATAAGGCCGAAAGACTAAAGCAAGTTTTAGAGCAGGAGTGAAAGTTTATCAAAAAGCTTTAGTGCAAGAATGAAAGGAAGAAAAAGAAAGTACACTCAGAAGAGGACCAAGTGGGCCACTTGAAAGATCAAGTGCCGGCCCTGTTTTAACGTACTAGGCACAGGATAACAAGTAAGTCCGACATAGCACATGTACTGGTAGAGCTTACATTTTTGGAGAGGAAAGAGGAGGACACTGAAACAAGCTAAATTTGAACAGATATAAGTGCTGAGAAAAACAAAATATAGCAACGTAATTGGTAGAGAATAAACATCATTCTTTTATCAACTGCTATGATTGGAAAAGCCTTCTGAAGGGCTGCAGTTGAACCACACGATTAAATGAAAGTCAATAAAGACTTGGAAAAAAACACATTCAAAGCAGAGAAAATGAGTGGAAAGTTCATCAATTATTAGTAAGCTTGTAATTATAAGATTAAGTACGAGACAGGAAGACAATCATATCTCATTTGAGGCTTTACTGGTTTTGGTAAGAAATCTGGATTGTATTTTAAATATGCTGGGAAGCTACTGGAATATAATAAGTGACATGAAGTGATTGTTTCAAAAACACTGCTCTGGATTATCCATGGAGAATGAATAGAGGGGTCAAAAATAGATGCAGGGAGACCAGGTAGGAGGCGACTGTGTGAAACTATGACTGAAACTTTAAAGATATGTTTGGAAAAAGATGCAATGAGATTTGCTGGTAAATTACATTAAGGTCTGAAAGAAAGAAGTTTCAGGTTTTGACATCAGGAAATAGGTCAATGGTGCTATTTCCTGAAATGGCAAAGACTAAAAGACGAACATATGAAGTAAGTGTCCAGGGTATCCAAGTAGAGTTACTAAGCAGACAATGTGACGTATGGGTCTAAAGTTCAGGGATTAAAGTCAGAGTTGTTGACACAAATTTGGGTGTTAACTTCACAGCAATAGTTTTTAGAGCAAGGAGGCTAGATAAGATCACCCAAGGAAAGAACACAGATAAAAAATGATTAAAGGATCAATAACTGAGAGCCCTTTGATATTGCAACATTTTGATATGAAGAAAATGAAGAATACTCTGTATGTAAAAACAAGTGGTGACTGAAGGAGAAAGGAAACCAGGCATTGTAGATGCCAAGAGAAGTATTTCAGAAAAACGACAATGGTGAACAGGATTGACTGCTGCTCAGAGGTTACAAAAAGAAGAAATAAGAACCCTTGGAAAAACAATGAAAGTCACTGATGGCCTTGCCAGAGCAGTTCGGGGTTTGGTGGAAATTATAAAGAAGAAGCTCACCTATGGATGGCTGAGGACATCTAGGAGGTGAGGAAGTAAAGATATTTAAGTGAAAACATAAACTTGAACAGGTGAGAAGAGTTAAGATCCAGTGTACAGGAGAAGGAATTCGATCTTGATAGAAACAGTGACACTTTCAGTATAAAAGAGGAATACAAAGCAGACGTGTTGGGAGATTTGAAGGTGTAAAGAGAATTCTTAATTGACCGATTCTATTTTTCGATGATTTAAGAAGCCAGATGTTGAGCTAAATGGATTGGAGGACAGTATGTATTAAATTGCATGTTAAAGAGAAGTTCTGGGATGGGTGTGACAGCTCCTGCCTGTAATCCCAGCATTCTGCGAGGTTGAGGTGTGTGGACCACCTGAGGACAGGAGTTCAAGACCAGTCTGGCCAACATGGTGAAACCCCGTCTCTACTAAAAATTAAAAAATTAGGCCGGGCATGGTGGCTCACGCCTGTAATCCAAGCACTTTGGAGGCCAGGGCAGGCAGATCACCTGAGGTCGGGAGTTCAAGACCAGCCTGACCAACATGGTGAAATCCTGTCTTTAAAAAAGAAAGAAAGAAAGAAAATTACAGAAATTAGCTGGGTGTGGTGGCAGGCACCTGTAATCCCAACTACTCAGGAGGTCAAGGCAGGAGAATCGCTTGAACCTGGGAGCTGGAGTTTGTAGTTAGCTGAGATTGCGCCATTGTACTCTAGCCAGGTGACAGAGTGAGGCTCCGTCTCAAAAAAAAAAAAAAAAAAAAAAAAGTCCTGAAATAAGTCATTTTGGAGAGCAGAAGAGCAAACATTCTAAAGCTGATGGCCATTTGAGCTTTATGATCAAAAATTTAAGTCAGACACTTTAGTAAACATGATTGTATGATTTTTCTCCTACAATATTGAGCTGGGGGTGGGGTGGGAGATAGGAATGGCTTTTTCATGGCTAAAATAAGATAAGGGCTATGGAATTAAAGATGTTTTTCATGGAGCAATTATAATAATGGGCTGTATACATTGTTTAAGAAAGAAAGAAAATGGAAGAGGACAGAAAAATGAAAAGGTCAACAGTAATGGGCCAAAAAAGAAAAAGAAAAATGAAAAGTGAAACACTGCAGAGTATAACAATGGGAGGAGGTAGATGAGGCAAGTATAAGGAAATCTAAGAAGAAGTGAGCATATTAAGAAATTGAAAGGACAGTTCAATTCTACACAATAACAACAAGGTCACTAGCAGCAATAGTTTACCAGTATAGAAGAATACAGTGATCTTGGTACATGACTTTTCAATGAATGAAGAGTGACCCAAACACGAGTAAAAAACAGCAATGCACAATTTTTTTTTTTTGACAAGGCCTTAACTCTATTCATTCTTTAAAATACACTTCAGAGAAGGCAAGTTTCTGTCCATCAATAATATCCTCTAATTTTATTATGAAAATATTGAACTAGAACTAGGTTCATATTGATTCCTATACACACTACCAAACTGAAATAAAGCATACTAATTTTATTGTGTTTATAAGGTAAAAATGTAGGTTATGTTATCAAAGTTCACATTGAAGGGTTTTATTTGACATATGAAGCTCATTTTACCATGTAAAATCCACAAGAACACACTTAAACTACAAAAAATATGCAAAGTTTAGGAAAAGCAAAAGGAAGAATGCTAGATACCACACAGTGGAGTTAAACATATATGAAAATTCAAATCCCAGCTCTGCCATTTCCTAAGCTAGCTGAGTGAACCTGGAAAAAATCTTCAAACATTCTGGGCCTTAGTCTGTAAAAGAGTAAAACGGAAACAAGAATATCATCACTACACAAGACTGTCATAAGTATTAAGTGAAGGAATGTACAGCAAGTGTTAAGTACAGCTCGCGCAGAGATATCTATTGTTTTGTTATCTGCAGGAGAGAAATATACTTTTTTTAGACCAATGCTGCTCTTTTGATGATCAAACAATAAATGCAACAGGTCCATAGTATTGTTCCTTAAGCTGATACATTTTGTCAGTTTTAAGCAAACTCTATTTAATCAAACAGATTTCATTAAAGACATGTAAATCCATGCCCTCCCATGAAAGATTGCTTTTAGTAAGCCATAAGTTCTATTGGCCTCTTTTCCACATAGTCTTAAACCTGACTGGTTCAAGGAATACTACTCATATCCCACATTTTTCAGAAGCCCTTATGGGATGGAGTGTATCTCATCTAGGGTGTGTGTGTGTGTGTGTGTGTGTGTGTGTGTGTCTTGTGTGTTTGTGTGTATGAGAGAGCTATAGTGTACCTCATCTGGGGTGTGTGTGTGTGTCCCTGTGTGTCTTGTGTGTCTGCATGTACGAGAGAGTCAGAGACACAAGGAGAGAATATGAATCATTTAATGAATATTCCAGTAAGTCCATTAAATGAGTATGCCTGCTTCTAATCTCTGCTTTAGTCCTTTTTTAAAGAACGTTTTATCTTTACTTAGAACAATCAAATTTAGGCATATTACATATGGGCATACTACATATGTAGCATGTAGTACATATGTAGTACATATTACATATGGGCATACTACATACAGTCACATCTTTAGTTGAACTAATAATAAGCACATTCAGTCTTTTAGCTTATTCTATAGAAATGGCAATTTAACAACTGGTTATCATATATAATTTAACAAAAGCTCATTTTTATGCATAACTAATCTGCCTATCAGAAACCATCACAAGAAGAAAATTTATTCACAGTCTAAACAGTAACTCTGACTAGAAGTTTGCCTAATTGGATTTATTTTTAGGACTGAATAAACAGAGTTGGACTTCAATATCCCTGTTAAGATCCTTCTGCTCAAGAAACACTATGATTTTTAGTTAGTTATTTAAAGACGATTGCCCCACATTATTTAGATCTAATCACATTCTGAGTTGTTTCTACTCCTGGAATTTCCAAATTAATGGTGTTTGACAAAAGAATTTTTTAAAATCAGGCTTACTTTTTAAATACCCTTCCATAACCTTTACAAAATTAGAAATTGCG